CAGCATTATTCAATATATGATGAACATACGTAGCAGCTGCATGAGATGCAAAAGGCTTCCAACTTCGGAATTCATCTATCTGCCCATCAGCNCAATCAACAACAGCTTTAATGACAATAGCTTCTACTTTATGTTTAGCCTCACTAGCAGCACGAAATATTCCAGTCCCTTCCATTTCACCAGCAAGAGCATCAGAACGTACTTTTCTTAAATCTTCTTTAAAATCTTCATCATTGACTACATCAGAAGTAGAAACAATAGGACCACAATAAACGTTGACCACTTTAGCATTTTCTTTATCAGAATGTTTTATTTTAAGTCTAGAAGTGCCCCCAAAAAAGCGTAAAAGAGTATTTCCTGCTCCAGGTTGAGCTCCACGAATGTCAATAATCCCGTTTTCTACCTTAAAGGTGGTTAAATCCACAATCATGTCAGAAACAATGACGTCACCAAGTTGCACTTTGTTTGAATCCATTCCAAAGCAGGTTCCAACTGCAATTATATATCTTGGCTCAAATATCTCCATTATCTTATTTGTGACTATAAAAGCATTTAAACCACTTTGACCTTTAGCATATGCACTCCTTCCAATGACAACTGAATATTCTCCGTATTTTCCAATGTAAATCAAAGTATCATTAATAAATAATTTGATAACTTTATCCTTTAATGGCTTTAAGTAGCCCAACACTCCTCTTAGCTCTTTCTCAGTGACAGTAATCAGCAGAATACGAATATCTTCAACGATGTGTTTAACATCATCTTCAGATAGCTTTGTCTCATACTCTTTTTCATCCAGTTCTGGAAATAATTCAGGAAGTGGGACTGGAGCAGGGACTGCATGTATAGAAAATAAATAATAATTATTATAAATATTGTATAGTTCCAAATTTTTATTGGTCGAAAAAATTTTTTCAATAATCGACAAAATTTTTGTTCCCCGTGGGTAGTATTCAAACTTATAACAGAAATGATGAAAATTGTGACAAGAGCCAGGAAGGCTATGTATTTGAAAATGTTTAATTGTCAGATTGACCACACCTCCTTTCACACTTTGATAATATCAGTTAATTGAAACTAGTTTACAACTTGACAATAACACTTTATTTTTGTATAATTAATACCATAATTAGAGGAGACTGTTCTAAAGTGCACTATGCCCCCCTGCTTCATCACCGCATAGACACATTCCGGTTATTTTCATATTTTATTTGAGTAGTTATCAAAAAATAACAAACGATAACTACTCAAATAAAATACAGAAGTAACTGGAATGTGACTTTCCATTTCTACGCGGTGATACAGCAGACCATATAGCCGGTAGGACACTCTCCTCTAATTATTATCTACTCTTGTTAATAATAATTAATATTAATTGCTGGCCCCATAAATAAAGGTTCATATACACCACTGCTAAACTCTTGGCTTCTTGCCTTACAAGATCAATTTAATCAAACATACCCTTTTCATGAACTTCTTCTTTCAAAGGCTTTTTCTTCACCTGTTCTTCAACGCTATCCTGCTGAGTGCTATGATCCATTTTTCTCACTCTTTCTCGAGCTCTTTCTAGTTCTCTCCACAAACAAGGTGTGGTTTAAATATTAAAGTTAATGCATCAGTTTGTTCGTTTAACCATAGATACTATATATACTATATCCCAGTTCAGTTTGGGACGGAAGTGGAAGCAGCTGCGTGGAATTTGAAAAATGTAGCTACGTCACAAAAATGACGTATTTTAATGATATTCATAGAAGAATGGCGGCTGTGTTGTTTCACTCTTAAAACAGTCTTGCTGTTGCTGATAAGCAGTACAACAGCTACTGGAGTCAACTAGTCTTCATAAAGGTCATCATTATCAGAAGATCTTGCTCTGTTAGCTTTTTAAAACAAGAATTATCAGTTTGGGCGCTCGACCACATGTGCTTATGTAAACTATGACGTAGATAAACTGTCATAAAACGTCATTTTGGTATGCCATTGGGTTTATAGGGAGAACCCGGTTCTCAGGGTTCCCAAGAGCTGAGAGACCCAAGATTTCACAGATTTTGATGGACTTTGGCGACTAAGAACCAGTGAAAGTTTCATCCTTATCCCACATTCCTATAAAAAGTTATTCCAGTTTTTCTTGTCCCAAACTCAACTGGGATATAGTATAGTTCTCTCCACAAACAAGGTGTGGTTTAAATATTAAAGTTAATGCATCAGTTTGTTCGTTTAACAGGTCGTATTTCAAACAAGTGTAACAGTGTAAAAATATTCCTATAATTGTTTTCACCACCTTGCAAGTACAGCTGGATTTTTAATAAGACTTATGAAGGTTCTCTCTACCTTCTAATGCTTCCAGAAAAGACTTTAGACAGTATCTCTATGTTCTTTCCCTGTTAGAAAGCTCATAACTTTGACCCATGTTCAAACCACCATTTTGTTTGCCGTGACCACACCCACTTACGTAGCGTGGGCGGGTGGTTGCCAAGGCTTGTTATTTCTCCAATACAACGTGTATAGAAGAAATGTAAGTGTTGACATACAAATATATATATATCGCACGTGGGTGAAATCAATTATAGCATAGATAATAGAGTACAGAGGGATTGGAAACGGGGTATCTCCGTATACATCGCTAGGATACGGATGCTAGTTGACATTTGCATCTAGCAACGCCTAGCAACGGAGGCTGTCTTTGAGCTAGAACTGTCTTTTTGAGACCTGTCATTCCAGCAGTGGTGTCACTATACGTCATTATTTATATCAAAGGAGGCAGAAGAGACTGGTATCTATCGCCTGACTAATTTTTATGTTGCTAGCATCATCATTTGCACTGAATATTTGCTCTGGAATGAGAATGCTTAGAATGACATTTTGTTTTGTACCCTTATCTCAGTAGTGTTAGACAGAAGACAATAACTGATTCACCCACTCAATAGAGATTCATAATGTGGAGGTCGCCTACTATGTTTCGTTTGGAAATATGATTGCGTCTTCCTGTAACAATAGATTTACTGA